TTAATTGTGTGTTTACCTGTCATTGTCCTCTATTGGGTGGTCAATGGCTCAACAATGGTTATGTGTCATTCTGGCTCACTCCTTCCCTTAAATTGGAAGAGGAAATTACTGAATGGATATTTTAAAGAAACAGAGTTTGTTTTAGCACTGTGTTTAGCTCTAGATACTATACAAGAAGTATATTAAAGGAAAATAATTATAGTGACTGCCCAAGTTGCCATAATTGACCTCCTATGATCTCTTCTGAGTTTTATGATGAATTAAATAATATAAAGATACTAAAGATAACACTTTAAAAGGCCATCCCAAAATGAGATGGACAAACTATAAAGAAGAGAGTTCCCTGTCACAGGAGGCATGCAAGCAGATGCAAATTGTGAAAGTGATATAAAGGGATGGGGAAGGAAGTAAGGTTGTTTAACCTGAAAAAGAGAAAACTATCTTCAAATATGAGAAACACTTGACCCTATATAATCTTATTAGACAATATCACCCCAATAAATTTAATTTTTAGAATATTAGAAAGAGGATCATATGAAAAAAAATCATAAAAAAGAAAATTCTGTGAACTCTCAGAGGGTAGGACTAGATGCAATAAGTGAAAAGTACCAGGAAGATGATTTAGTTTCAACACAAATAACTTTTTTATTTTTGGAGCTGACCCTAAGAGGAATGGATTTCCCTGAAAGATATTTTTTTTAAATATATATTTTATTGATTTTTGTACAGAGTGGAAGGGAGAGAGATAGAGAGTTTGAAACATCAATGAGAGAGAGTCATTGATCAGTTGCCTCTTGCACACCCCCTACTGGGGATATGCCTGCAACCAAGGTACATGCCCTTGACCGGAATCGAACCTGGGTCCCTTCAGTCCCCAAGCCGACGCTCTATCCATGGAGCCAAACCGGTCCCGGCAAGATATTGAGTTCTTTATCAGCATGGACCAGGGTCAAAAAACTTAGATGACCATTGGCCTGGGATAATGTAGTGTGACTAACACTCATTCACTAGCCTATTCACTCACCTCTTCACCTACTATATCCCAGGCACTTTGCTAGGGACACAAGTTCTAATGAGACAAACTCCTACATTTTAGGAGTTCACAAATAAGCACATTCCACGAGTCTTTTCAGTCTGAATCATTACAGACTAGGAGAAGTTTTCCAAGTGATGAAAGGGTGAAAAATTATGTTCTAGATAAGGAAAACAGCCTTTGCAAGGATAGAAATGCCTAAATCAGAGAAATATAAAAGTTCAACATGGTGGAGGTGAGGGATAGGGCATATGAATAATGTGTTCATATCCCTTTAAAGGTATACATTAATGGCTGCAAAAGATTACAAAATCTCTCCCCATTTCTAAAATTCTCCCATTTTTATATTATTCTTTCTATAATACTAATAAATACATTTCTAAAGAACATATATAGTAATTTATTCAGGGAACTTGGAGCCCCAGGCCAAGAAACAAACTGGCTTAAGTAACAAGCATAATGCTCACCTAAAAAAAAAAAAAAAAAGTTGACTCTGGACATGGTTCACCATTCTCCTTCACACCAGCATCTGAAAATAAAAAAAATAATAATAATTTAAAAAAAAACAAAAAACTATATCTATTTGAATTAACTAGAAGTCCTAACCTTCCTATCCATTACTAACTTGGTATGAAAAGGATGTCATAATAAATAGGATTTAATGTTTTCTATGATCCAGTTATATATCGGTACATAATAAGATGGCAATCGATTGAATTTTTCTAGCCTCCCAAAGCCTTTGTTTCAACCCTACATGCTCTCATCGTTATAAGCTGGGCCATAATGTCTAAACCAGGTTGCGTGAGCCCATTGCTGAGCTGACCAGCATGTCATACCAAATTGTGGGCTGTCAGTCTCAGGGAGCTTGAAAGACAAACTTCAGAATTAGAATCTTGCAGGTGTAGACCCTCAGAATTAGACAGGCTATTGAAAGAAGGACAATAAGAAATGGTAGTAAGAGTTCAAGAATCTTAGTTAGACTATTTTAAATTCTTAACTTCTTCCAACTATTTAACCTTGAAGAAAGCTAGTGACTCTCACTGAGCTCAGTTTTCTTATTTATAAAATCAGAAAAGTAATCCTAGGCTTCTGAAGATTAAATGAGATAATGAATAAATATCCCTCTAGATATCAACATGCCTGATCATCAGTGAATGTTAACAATGACTGTCATTATTAATCTCAACAGTATTTAATGGCATTCATTCTCTCAGTTTATGCTTCAAGAAGAGAAAATTCAAATTGAAGTAGAAAAACAGAAATAATAAATATGAGTCTGTGTCACCCTTGGTATTTTGAAATGTCATGTCAGTGATGTAAACTGTTTTCAAATGCTTCTGAAAATGTTATTTGAGCAAAGATTGCTGATAAAAACTCAACTCACGGTGAGAGACATAAGAAGCACAGTGACCTTGAAAAATTTAAAGGACTGAAAGAGAACATGTATGCTAAATCCTGGAGGGAAATCAACAGGGCCCCGGGCAGTTGTGGTATGGTTCAGGATGATGGCAGCATCCAAAGCTCTACAAATGCGGGGCCCATGTAGAAACAGGCCTAAAATGAACAAGATTTCTACCAGTTCAGTGGAAAATAAACACACACCCATCATAGGGAACATCTGCTACAGTGGAAGGAATCTTGGGCTGAGCAAGAGAAGCCTTGGCTCCATTGACTCTGATATGCCTTAAGGCAAGTCCCTTTCTGTAATGGGTACCATCTCTACTGTGTAAGTGCTGAGTGAATAAGTTCCTAAGTTTCTTTCTGTACTGAAACTGAACTAACCTGTATACTATATTCCATATTGGTTAATTTCTATTAGATTTTACTTCATTACTAGTAAATATATTACAGAGGGGAAGATATAACACAAAACTTAATAGCTAAAAGGGAAAAAAAGTGCTAAATGTGACTAAACATTTTAAATTTCTATATGACAAGAAATAACATACAAGTGAGAAGCTAAAATAGTTAAATGCAATAACACAAAGTACAAACACCAAACTAGTAAGAATATTTATATGAAATAGAGCACTAATATTTTTAATATACAGATAAAATGTTAAAAGAGCAAACAGCCAGTGTGACTTCTTGATTGATCATCAACCTATGAATCAGGAGGTCGATGATGAGAGGAATTGTTGGACATGAGATTATGTGATCCTTGACTTGTGTATTCAGTTTCTGGTAAACAAAAGCCTAGATGAAATTACTTTTCCTGTCTCTTCCAGCTGAGTCATACTTCTGACCCATCAATGCCTAGACAATCTCTGAAATGACGATCAGCTACCAAGGAGTTAATCTGAAATTTTATAATTCAAAGGCACTGTTAGAATCAAAGAATTCTAGCTCAGAGAGTTAGGAGAGAATTGAGGCTCAGATTGGCAATAGAGCTATCACTCAGCTATTGAGTGGCACAGGCAGGCCACCCACCCCTAGCTCAGCTGGGTTCCCAATTTACTGTGTAAACAATGCTTTTAATAAGGAGTTACCATAATAGAAAGCCAGGGAAGAGACCATGAAAGTTTTAAAAGTGAATAAGGAGTGCCCAGCTGGCATGCCTCAGTATTTGAGCATTGACCTTATGAACCAGGAGGTCATGGTTTGATTCCCAGCCAGGGCAGGTGCCCAGGCCAGTGGAATCGATCCCTAGTGTGGAGCACACAGGAGGCAGCCAAACTTTCTCTCTCATCATTGATGTTTCTATCTCTCACTCCATCTCCCTTCCTCTCTTCAATCAATAAAAATATTTTTTAATAAATAAAAGTGAATAAGGAGACTTTAACAAGGTTACTATGAGATGTCCAAAATGCGGAATTGAGAATGACAGATGTTCCAGGCCTGATAGGAAACAGAGTAGCAACCTCCACCAATCCAGTATCATTGTCAAAGAGGATTCATGTGAGGCCAAATAGGATTCTATATTTTATGGGTAGATAAGCTGATCAGTTATTTTATTCTTTTTCATCGGAGGTGGCCATCTTCCCTATAAATAAAAGAAAACAGAATTCTGGTATCATCTGCAAAAATCACTCTGTGTAGGTTAGAGAACTGGACTTACTATGTGCTAGGTTAGAGAACTGGACTTACTGTGTGCTCTGCTGAAGCAGAAAGGCTTCCTCAGACTTGTCTTGTTCACTTTTGTTCCTCACCCTCAGTGCCTCTCCTGGGGCAGACAGGGAGCCCTGTCATTGACAAGCAAGCAGTAATTACATTGTGTTGATTTAGACAGAATTGATTGGAGAAAGATTTTAGCTTTTGCTTCTCATTAAATTTGACTTCAGAATGAATTCTCCCTCTCGGCAGTTCTGTGCTGGTTTGGAGATGCTCTGTTTCTTTTCTGGCACGGGCCCCAAAATGGGAGTTAGCAGCAGCAACATAAACTGCAGGCATTCTCTATTTCATTTTGTCAGAAGCCCCACTGGAATTGTACATGAGAAATGGGACGGTCAAATTTATTTTGGAACAAAGCTCAGGCCTATCTAACTGAGCTCAGGATGACGGGACCAAGCTTCTGACCAAAGAGGGAGTTTTGGCAGGCAGCCAGTCAGTCCCATTGTATATAGTGTCCCCAGAACCCTATCTGAATGTATTAATCCATCAGTGCATGCTTGTCTATGCACATTACATGTGTCTCTTTATTACCCTGTCTTCCCTCTAATTTTGAAGGCTTCTATCCACCCCAGAAATCTAGGAAACTCACAGAGGCATAGGAACTGAACACACTGAGAGCCTAGTGGCAGTGAGCCTACAAAAGAGTTTCAACGTGCTCAGGCCATAGCACAAACACCACAAGATGAAATTTCATGTGTCTGCTACCTAAAAATTCTCAGGAGCACAATACACAAATGCCTGGGTAGGACATGAAGGGTTTTTAGGCAGGTGACATAATCTTAAACAGACTCTCCATTCTGGGAAACTGTCCTTCTGTCAATGAAACACCAACATCCTGTGGTGTCCTGTCTTTCAGGTGAATGGCATTGACCTCCGTGGAGCATCCCATGAACAGGCTGCTGCTGCACTGAAGGGGGCTGGACAGACAGTGACGATCATAGCACAATACCAACCTGAAGGTCAGTGAGCGCCCAAACGTCTAATGTTCTGATATGTGAATGTGGACCCGCATTTCTGATTGCCCATGTTAACTAGTCACTGCCAACAGGGAAATCGGTGCTTTATATGCCTAGGACAGGAGGCTGTTTTACCCTTCATCTTCCAAGGAAAACTTCAGACAGCTAGAAAGCTCTATTTGAAATACGAATTCAAATAAGTAACCGCCAGCATCAGTTTTATTTCATTTATTTTCTTATCTGATACATACTTTTTGGTCAGCAATGGACACTATAAAAACAATTGAGATTTAGGAAGCAAAGAGGAGAGATTTCATCAACAGAAACAGATGATCACTAGATCATATTCTCTCCTTGTAGCATTAATTCTTTGATACTAACATGGCTGTGGATGCCCTTGATGTGGATTTATCTTTTGCTTTCATTTTTACTTTTGCCTTTTCTACTACACTATCACATGTTTGGAATGCATCACTATCAACCGTGAGATGTGGTGAGATGTCATAAATCCTATTAGCTTCCTGGGCCTCGATGAGATATCCTAGATTGGATTAGCTGTATCCTGCTCTTTGGTTTGTTTCAACATCTGTTTCTGTGATCAGAATGAGAAACAATGAGACAACCAGGATGTTTTCTATTGAAGTTGATTTCTTAGCAGACTTGTGGGTAGAATGTTCTCTTGTTCATGAAACATAGTTAAGTGCACCATCGTGGGTTAGACACTGTTCAAAATAACAGAGGCATAGGTGTCTGTCCTTGAGAAATACGGTTAATTGCTTTTGCTCTACATGGCTAGCAAACAGGAGTATTAAACAGCCAAACATGAAAACACAAGATGCCATCAAGGCAGAGCCTTTGTGCCTGTGGATATATGGAGCTTCTTTGGCCTCTCAAATGATTCTTTCATAAAGTCAGTTTGTCTTGTTGTTTGGAAGACTGCTGTTTCTGTCTTACCTGTGGCATCTTAGATTTTACCATTAATGGTAGCCAACCACTACTTACCTGAGAATAGAGTAAATATTCTGCCCAGTGTGTTTCGGTACATTGTTTTCACTTTGCCTGGCTTTAGAATTAGACTGTGCAATAGTTATAAAAATATATCTATATATATCTATATACCTATATAAAATTATTATTATTAAATGCTTTCTCATATTGCTCTAGCCCAGATATGGCTAGAGAGGCTGGGGAAGAAGGAATAGATCAGTGAAATAAAGATAAAATTTAAATATATATTATCTTCTTCTGGGGGAAACAATACTAATGATGATAACACCAAGGGAACATGTTCTTCCTAGACAGTTTTGAGAAGCCTTTCTACTTCTTAAAAAGGAATGTCTTCTAATAGGAATAAATGGTTCCAAATGTACCCATTGTAAAACAGAAAACAAAGAAATCTGGGTTAGCACAATATGATGAACAAATTCTACTTTATATAGTGTAATAACTTTTTCATGGGATTCTTTCACTTTCTTGATAGATATTTCCTTTCAGTCTCATAGTCTGGTGCCTGGCCTAAACACCCTGGGCTGTTTTCTCATTTTGGAAAAATTTCATCTTAAACAATTCTGTAGATTGATAAGATGGTCAGAACTATAGTTATACCAATTAGAAGCTCTTGATAGTGAAGACAGCCATTCAAATAACCTTGAACAGAATGATTTCAAGCCTTAAAGGCTACAATAAAGGACAACCAGCTTGTCCTAGTTCTATCAACATAAATCATCTTAAACTTCAACTTAGGTTCCTTTAAGCAATATACTTAATTTAGATACTGTGTTGTACTTTATCAAGATGCCTGTTCAAAGCAAATCAATTTTTAAAGCACTTTTAATGAACCCTGCAAATAACAAACAAGAAGCTTATTTCAAAATGCCAAAGTATAGGTCAGATTCACAGAATGACTTCCCCATTTTAACATTTTAACTGTATTGTCATTTGTTGCAGCTTTAAGTTGGTTGGAAATATAGTTATGCAACATCAAGCAAGTATTTTCTTTTTCTTTTTTACAAATTTAATGTTCAACTAAGCCTATTCTATTATTTGAAATAGAAGACTGATTGCATTGTTGCCTAGCCCCTGTAGGGACATTTAAATATACAACAGCTTTAGGAAATAATGAACAATTTTCTTTTAAAATAACAAGTGGAGCCTAGCTGGTTTGGCTCAGTGGATAGAGCCTAGGCCTGCAAACTGAAAGGTCCCGGATTTGATTCCAGGGCACATGCCTGGGTTGCAGGCTCAATCCCCAGTGGGGGGACATGCAGAAGGCAGCCAATCAATGATTCTCTCTCATCGTTGATGTTCCTTCTCTCTCTCCATCTCCCTTCCTCTCTGAAATCATTAAGAATATATTTTGAAATAAATAACAAGGGGAAAGAAGAGTACATCATGAGATTCCATTAAGAAATTCTCACCACGTCCCCTTTGCACCAGTATTGTGAGGTGTACACGCTAAGACGCATTTTATTGACATCTCTTTTGGAATGGTCAAGAACCACCCTTCCCGTAAATATGTTTCACAGTTACTTTCTAATGCTTTTACTAGGAATATTCTAGCTGCCTTGCTCAGTATTACCAAATATTCAGAAAATGTGGCCTTTGACCCCATCCCAAATCTTTGTCATGAAGAATTTTTTTATCTTATTGAGGAGAAAGAGCTTAGGCACATTTAATAGAGATTGGTTCCTGATGACATAAGACCAAAATTGTATGATAATGGTACCACTTCTACAAAGCATGAAACATCAGAGAATGGATAAACCTGCAGGAGCTAGAACAGTACAAATAGTACTTTATGGAAATAAGGGAATAGACCCAGACCTTGAAGAATGGATAGGATTTCTGTTCAGGAGAGGAGGGAGAAAGAATATCTTGCTAAACTCCACAAGACTGTGAGCTCCATGCATGCAGAGAGAAACCTTTATTTTGTTCACTGATAAATCGGCCTTCAGTATTGTGCTATAATTGGTATTTCTTAAAGAGTTGCTGAACTAGGGAATAAAATTTTGCCATTTTTCAGTATTTGAATTTCCACTTCAAGGTAATTAAAGATTGAAGAGATTCAGTTTACTGCTTGCATTTTTTATTTTTGCTTCAAAGCAAAAAATAAGTGCTAAACAAGTGGGCGTCACAAAAATATAAAACCATTTCCAATTGTGTTTTTTTATAGCACTTGGCATATTTTTTTAAATAATTATAAATAATTTATAAATATCATGAGGTATTTATGTTTTTCTCAGCAAGTTTTACCCATATCCACTAACATCCTTTTTAAATATATAAGTTTTTATTAATTTTAGAGAAGAAAGGAGGAGAGAGAAAGAGAAGCATCAATCAGCTACCTCCTGCGAGCCTCCTATTAGGGAAGGAGCCCACAATCCGGGCATGTGCCCTGGTGGGGAATTGAACTGATGACCTCTGGGTGCATGGGATGACACTCAGTCAACTCAGCCACACCAGCAATATCATCCTTTTTTATCATCTTCTTCCACTGCTGCATAAGCCTACTCCCTATTCCTAACACTTGATTCTGAATTATCATGTTTCTGAGCCTTTGCTCATATGGATTCTTCTACCTGGAATTCCCTTTTCTCCCTTTCTACCAGTAGGATTCCTAGTCATTTTGAGGATCCTCAGATGTCAATTTCACTAATAAATTCTTTATTCTACTAAAACATTAATTGATTATTTCTATGAGCTCCCTAAACCTGTATTCAGGTGCCAGGATTTGCACATTTCTCTACTCAAGTAAGCTTCGAGAAGGCAAGGACCCATCTATCCCTCATTTTATCTTCCATGTTAATTTGCTCAATATGAACTTGACTGTGTTTAATTAAAGCGTTTTCAAATGGTTCTCCACTTGTTGTAGAAGTGCAATATTATATCTTCAGTGTGTTGGCCAATATTAATAGAGGTACTTAAGAAATAATTGATGAGTAGGTAGAGCGTCGGTCTGGGGACTGAAAGGTCCCAAGTTCAATTCCGGTCTAGGGCATGTACATTGGTTGCGGGCACACCCCCGGTAGGGGGTGTGCAAGAGGCAGCTGGTTGATGTTTCTCTCCCATCGACGTTTCTAGCTCTCTATCTCTCTCCCTTCCTCTCTGTAAAAAAATCAATAAAATTAAATTTAAAAAATAAAATAAAATAAAATAAAAAAAGAAATAATTGATGAGTAAATACTGAATGAATGGCCTAGAGTTTGATATTAGATACAGAAATGTTAAGAATCCAAGGGATGGTCAGTTGGTGTTGATGCAATTTGTAGATGGTGCCTTTTTGGTTTTTGTTACAAAATTCAGAAAAATTATAGCAGTTGCTCTATAACATAGCACACAGAATAGATGATTAAGGCTCTAACAGTTTTTAAAGTTCTAAAATCTACTTTTAACAGCATTGATAAATAAAAAAGGTATTGATTACAACCTAATTATACATTTGTCACAGCATTCCTCTGTGTCAGAATGGGACAAATCTTTATTATCACTTATTGCCTTCTCACTAGTATAATAATATCTATATTTAGTGTCAGACTATTAATTGGAGTTGAAATCATAAACCACCAGATTTTCACTAAGAGCCAAGTGAATAATATAAATTGTTGGATAAAGCACAAAATGAAGACAATAAATGGCCAAGCTATTCCTATGAAAGTCACCAATATCCATTTGCCTTTAGTTTGTTTACTCAGGTAATTGTTGGGAATACTTTAAGGGCTTCAGAAGTGCTTGCAAGTAAAAAAGAGGAAGTTGGTGGAGGTCCCCATCAGCCAGCAGGTACTTGAGTAGACATTGGAGGGACCTGTTTTCCTCCACATCTCATTCTTTAACAGAATACTACTTAAGTTCCTAAAAGAAAAGTCCAAAAGACAGAGTTTATTATTGCCTGGAGACTTTTAAGTGTAGTATGGTTTATGGCGTTGTGAGAGAATGGCCATGTGGTTCATATATACATTGATTTATTCAATAGTCTGAACACTTTATTATGCCCAGGGAAATGGTAA